ATCTTTCTTCTGTACTGTCTGGTGTAGAGACATCTTTATTCTGTACTGTGTCTGGTGTACAGACATCTTTATTCTGTTCTGTGTCTGGTGTACAGACATCTTTATTCTGTACTGTCTGGTGTACAGACATCTTATTCTGTAATGTGTCTGTTGTAGAGACATCTTTATTCTGTACGGTGTCTGGTGTACCGACATTTTTATTCTGTACAGTGTCCGGTGTATAGACCTCTTTATTCTGTACTGTGTCTGGTGTACAGACATCTTTATTCTGTACTGTGTCTGGTGTAGAGACATCTTTATTCTGTACGGTGTCTGGTGTACCGACATTTTTATTCTGTACAGTGTCCGGTGTATAGACCTCTTTATTCTGTACTGTGTCTGGTGTACAGACATCTTTATTCTGTACTGTGTCTGGTGTAGAGACATCTTTATTCTGTACGGTGTCTGGTGTACCGACATTTTTATTCTGTACAGTGTCCGGTGTACAGACATCTTTATTCTGTACAGTGTCCGGTGTATAGACATCTTTATTCTGTACTGTGTCTGGTGCAGAGACATCTTTATTCTGTACTGTCTGGCGTACAGACATCTTTATTCTGTATTGTGTCTGGTGTGCAGACATCTTTATTCTATACTGTCTGGTGTACAGACATCTTTATTCTGTACTGTCTGGTGTACAGACATTTTTATTCTGTACAGTGTCTGGTGTACAGACATCTTTATACTGTACTGTGTCTGGTGTAGAGACATCTTTATTCTGTATTGTGTCTAGTGTACAGACATCTTTATTCTGTATTGTGTCTAGTGTACAGACATCTTTATTCTGTACTGTGTCTGGTGTAGAGACATCTTTATTCTGTACAGTGTTAGGTGTACAGACATCTTTATTCTGTACTGTGTCTGGTGTAGAGACATCTTTATTCTGTTCTGTGTCTGGTGAAGAGACATCTTTATTCTATACTGTGTCTGGTGTACAGACATCTTTATTTTGTACTGTGTTCAGTGTACAGACATCTTTTTCTGTACTGTGTTCAGTGTACAGACATCTTTATTCTGTAATGTATCTGGTGTACAGACATCTTTATTCTCTACAGTGTCTGGTGTACAGACATCTTTATTCTGTACTGTCTGGTGTACAGACATTTTTATTCAGTACAGTGTCTGGTGTACAGACATCTTTATTCTGTAATGTGTCTGGTGTACAGACATCTTTATACTGTACTGTGTCTGGTGTAGAGACATCTTTATTCTGTACTGTCTAGTGTACAGACATCTTTATTCTCTACAGTGTCTGGTGTACAGACATCTTTATTCTGTACTGTCTGGTGTACCGACATTTTTATTCTGTACAGTGTCCGGTGTATAGACCTCTTTATTCTGTACTGTGTCTGGTGTAGAGACATCTTTATTCTGTACTGTCTGGTGTAGAGACATCTTTATTCTGTACAGTGTCTGGTGTAGAGACATATTTATTCTGTACTGTGTCTGGTGTAGAGACATCTTTATTCTGTACTGTGTCTGGTGTAGAGACATCTTTATTCTGTTCTGTGTCTGGTGTAGAGACACCTTTATTCTGTTCTGTGTCTGGTGAAGAGACATCTTTATTCTATACTGTGTCTGGTGTACAGACATCTTTATTTTGTACTGTGTTCAGTGTACAGACATCTTTTTCTGTACTGTGTTCAGTGTACAGACATCTTTATTCTGTATTGTGTCTGGTGTACAGACATCTTTATTCTGTACAGTGTCTGGTGTACAGACATCTTTATTCTGTACTGTGTCTGGTGTAGAGACATCTTTATTCTGTAATGTGTCTGGTGTACAGACATCTTTATTCTGTACTGTCTGGTGTACAGACATCTTTATTCTGTACTGTGTCTGGTGTAGAAACATCTTTATTCTATACTGTGTCTGGTGTACAGACATCTTTATTTTGTACTGTTTTCAGTGTACAGACATCTTTATACTGTACTGTGTCTGGTGTAGAGACATCTTTATTCTGTACTGTCTGGTGTACAGACATTTTTATTCTGTACAGTGTCTGGTGTACAGACATCTTTATACTGTACTGTGTCTGGTGTAGAGACATCTTTATTCTGTACTGTCTGGTGTACAGACATCTTTATTCTGTATTGTGTCTGGTGTACAGACATCTTTATTCTGTACTGTGTCTGGTGTAGAGACATCTTTATTCTGTTCTGTGTCTGGTGAAGAGACATCTTTATTCTATACTGTGTCTGGTGTACAGACATCTTTATTCTGTACTGTGTCTGGTGTAGAGACATCTTTATTCTGTACAGTGTTAGGTGTACAGATATCTTTATTCTGTACTGTCTGGTGTACAGACATCTTTATTCTGTACAGTGTCTGGTGTACAGACATCTTTATTCTGTACTGTGTTCAGTGTACAAACATCTTTATTCCATACTGTGTCTGGTGTACAGACATCTTTAATCTATACTGTGTCTGGTGTACAGACATCTTTATTCTGTACTGTGTCTGGTGTACAGACATCTTTATTCTGTACTGTGTCTGGTGTAGAAACATCTTTATTCTATACTGTGTCTGGTGTACAGACATCTTTATTCTGTACTGTGTCTAGTGTACAGACATCTTTATTCTGTTCTGTGTCTGGTGTAGAGACATCTTTATTCTATACTGTGTCTGGTGTAGAGACATCTTTATTCTGTTCTGTGTCTGGTGTACAGACATCTTTATTCTGTTCTGTATCTGGTGTAGAGACATCTTTATTCTGTACTGTCTGGTGTAGAAACATCTTTATTCTATACTGTGTCTGGTGTACAGACATCTTTTTTCTGTAATGTGTCTATTGTAGAGACATCTTTATTCTGTACTGTGTCTGGTGTACATACATCTTTATTCTGTAATATGTCTGGTGTACAGACATATCTATTCTATACATAATCTGGTCATTTCAGATCTCGAGAAAGAGATAAACTTTTCAAAGTCAAATGCAAGAAGGCCGCCTGTCAGCCATTTTTTTCTCTGATCTGTCCCGAAAGTAACCAGGCACAGCTAAAAACAAACGGAAACCTACATGTTGAATTTGAAAGAGATCCATTTAGCAGTTCTCAAGAAATAGCAATAACAAAATTAAATAGGCAAAATCCGAGATGACCGTCTGTCGGCCATTTTGTTTCTCTGATCAGATCCAAAATCAAACAGGCACAACTTAGGGACCAAGGGAAACCTACATATGATATTTGAGAAAGATCCATCCAGTTCTTCTCAAGAAATAGTGATAACAAATATTGTTTACAGACGTACAGACAGATGATGGACAATGGATGTAGGGCAATTTGAATAGCCCACTATATGATGATAGAAAGCATCTTCAGTTTCATCGACTTAAGCAGCCATGTAAATTTTGGTCAATCCAAAAGTATTTAATGTCATGTTCTTAAATGTGAACTAGGTCAATATCAGAACCACCAAGGATATTATTATTGATCATCAAACAAGTCCAACCTCATTTCAAATCGACATGTTTCCTCTTGAAGTCATCATGACAACTGTAAATTTCTCCATAATCTTCACCAACATGCATCTTCCCGAACCCTGTGTTGTGGGTTTATCTGTCAACTGTCAATATTTTGCATGGAAATTATGATATTGGGAGCAGGTCTTCAAATTAAATGTGATATGCAAACACCATAGGCTGGGGAAGCATGGTGTTACTATCTAGAAATTGAAATTCCTCAGAAGGAAGTGAAATGATTATACATGGTGGACAGCTTGTAGTCTTTGTTCCCTTTTAAGATCAAGGTAAGCAGTTGCTGCTGCAGAGTCTGGCCTGTGTTTGATCTCCTGGTATATTAACAGATTTAACATAGAGTGAGTAAATGTCAGCTTATACAGATGTAGTTTTAAGTAAAATTCCTTCTCAAAACAGTATAGATCTTTAAGCCAGCACACACTGACAAAATATAGTCACATTATCATAAAACAAATTGAGCCAGTTAGTCTTGAATATGGATCAAGGTCATTTCTTGATAACCCTGTATCCACCGATTCCAGTGAGTGTCTTGTCAAATAGGCTGGTTTCCTTTAGGGTTTTAAGCACAATAATTTTTTTTTCTTTTTGTCTTCACGTGTTTGACCAATGTGTTCTTTATGACATGTGAAGGTCATTTTTATGTTCTCGTTGCTTCAGTGTGAAGGTCATGGCTTCCACTTAAATAAAACGGTAAAACAACATAGATTGATTTCTTTATTGTCATACTTCGGATTATTACAACATCGTAAAGTGTTTCTTAATAGTTCAACAAACTGTTTCTTATTTCATACTATAACTTCCTTTATCAAAAGGGTCCTCAGTTTACTATGAAAAGTATTCCTAACAGTGAAGAATATTCTGTGTGATGTATACAGAATATTCATCGCTGAATTAATGAAGTATTCAGTTCCATTATCTACTTCAACCCTGGAAATATAATCCAGACAAACAATTTGTAGAACTGACCAATACATTCAAGAAAACTGATCTGTTCAGCCATTGTAACCAGTTTGATGAAATCAGAAGTAGAATAATGAAGATATTAGCCATCAGTTATACAGGACAAAGAGGACACGAGCTGTAAGGACTGTTGTGATGAATAACATCACAAAGATTTGTCATCACACAAAAGCTGATTCATCTTGTTCAACATTGATTATCTTTTTATAAAAGTAAAGTGATTAAAGAAAAATAGAAATGAATTCTTTGTTAAAATAAATTTTAGTAGAACAGAGACACAGTATCAGAAGTGTGTTTACTTCGTACAGAAACATGTTTACATGTTCTGACTGTAGGTATTTTTAGAATTATTTTTACAAAAGACATTGGAAAGCAGCTTTTTCAAAATAAAAAAAAAAAAAGAATGTAAAATCAGTAAAATCTGATAAATATTGACAAACTTTACCAACTATTGGAAAACTTTTACAAATAATGAATCATACGGTGTAGAAATAGATTATCTTTAAATAAAAACCCTCATTTTATTTAAACATAGATATCTGTGAATAGTTTCCATAAACAACATTTCATAGATAAATCTATACACATGATTAGTGTTAAAGCATGTTATATAAACTTGTTAAAGAAATGAACATTAAAAATAAACAATGATGAGACAAAGATTATAGACTATAACAATACCCTCCACATGTTGTTAAACAGGCAGAGACTGGCAGACTTGTAACAATGGGAGAAAGCTCCCTTCCATGTAAAACAGGTAGAAAAAATAAGTTAACAAATTAATCGTAAGTCCACAGGGAATGTAAACAAAACTTTCAGTCAATGAAAAACAGATCACAACCAAATTCTGAACAAAAGAAAACGTTATATAGGGAGATAGAGAAAACAGGTAATACTGGTGTCGGACATACATCTGTACTTAGGATTGTAGAACTATACCCCGACAGTCAGTCTGTGACCTGGAAGGAATGGGCTTCACACAATACATTTATTAGTGTATATTTGTCTAACAAATCTTTAAGTATTTCCTTTACATTAATCAAAGTATTTTATTTGCCTCAAGTTTAAATTTTCACTTTACAACTTGGATACCTTCCTTTTTCATAATTTGGCAAAAACAAGGAATGAAATTTCTCTTCAAGTGCATGTTCTACCCACACAATGTATCAAATGTTCCCAGGTGAAAACAAAGTTAGTGAGGCAATATGAGGAATCCTTTAAACATGTACTTGAGAATGTTCCACCAATGAAGCAAGGTTATAAGTCTGATTAAATCATTGTAGTAACATGCATCTTTCCTAATCAGACAATGAGAATTAATAGCACTGTCCTCGCTAATTGATAGATTTTAAACAACATCCAATCCTTTTTCCTTCCATGTCTGGAATATTTCATTTTTTCTTCAGTACTTTTAAAAGTTTGGTGCTTTTTATGCCGAGGCCTGCAGCTGGTACGATTTAGCATCATGGAGGTGATCATCATAAAACACATCCCTGGCTTTGATGCTCCTACAATGTCAGACAATAATATTACAATCATAAATCTCTGTCATTTCAGTCTCCAAGGAAAGTAACAAAATAAGGAATTATCTACACTGATGTAAAATGTGTACAAATATCTCACAATCAAATGACTGTTATAAACTAATGTTTCCTACCTTAGTTTTCAAACAGATAACAAGAATAGAAATTCAGTGTAATTTAAAGGATGAATGAAAACTTTTACCAAGAGGCCCAAGGGCCTTAACAGTCACCTGAGTCACCATGCTTCTTGTAACATGTCATAGAAATGATTTCGTTAAAAAAGGTAATATAACTTTAACTATATTGTACATATAATGCAAATGTAAATTGTGTATACATTAACTGCTGTCCTATGCTAAGGCTTCTAACAAAGTTTGAAGTAAAAGAAATTATACTCAAAATTTGAAGTTTCCTTTATAAAATCTTCCATCCAGGAAGAGTATAACATTTTTGAAATTTCAGTCAATTTGACCCATTTTTGACTCACCCAACAGCCCCGGGGTCAGTCGGGGTCAGTCGGGTCAATATATACATAAACTGTCATCTTAAACTAATAATTCTAATCAGGTTGGAACTATTTCCAATAAAAAAATAAACAAATGATACTCATAAGTATGATTTTCCTATATAAACTATAGTAAATTTACCCAATTGCCTGGAGAAAATGTGAGACCCTGGGGTCATGAAATTTATAATTTAAGTTAAGCATTTGAAGTAATTTCCATCCATGAAGAGTATTTGATTCTACCATACCTGGGATTTGAGAAAAAAGTTTTTTGAAGTTTAAATCAATTTGACCCTTTTTGACCCTGCTTCTCAGGCTCCTGGAAGTTGGGGATCATATGATTTACAATTTTGGTGCAAATTTCACTGAAATCAGTTCAGGAGTCTTCCAGAAGTCAAAAATATTCTAAGTTTACAACGCACGAAGCCAGACAAAAGGGGATCGCAATAGGTAACAATGAGACTTTGTTTAAAAATGTGTGAATTTTATCCTAGAGAGGTGTCTGTATTACCTGGCGACGTATGGTTCCAGTCTCCTTAGTGTGGCTGTTGTGTCCAGATCATTACCATAGGCATGTACAGCTGTGCTTTTTGTGAATCCATCTGGTTTCTGCTGTTGAACTCCCCCCCTGGTGTGTCCAGCACGATCTATACCCTGTGGGTTAGGGTCTGGACCAAACCTGTATACATTATTATAGACATCAGGAAATGCACAAGACTAAAGGAAAGAAATGATGTTTACCAGGACATATTGGTCTAAAGATGATTTAGGAGATTCTCACCTGTTTCTCTCAAAGTTATACTATGCCTTGTTACTAGTGTCATTATAACAAATCCCAGCAAGCCTGGAGGTCTATTAAGGGGCATGCATTGTCGCCTTTTACATTATACTTTTCACCTCATTGTCATTTAAAGTGGGTCTAAATCCAACAAACCTAAACAGGCTTAAAAAAACATGACCCTACCTGGTGAGATAATGAGTGATAAACCTGCGAGGCTCATCAGCAGTAGCCACAAATCTATCATTGTTTTCACTATAGCCAGACAGCTCCTGTTTGCCAGTACTTGTGTTGTCAAGTCGGTCAGCCTCGGTGTTGTCTGGTCTCTGTTTACCTTGGAATGTCTTCATTGTGATGCTTCAAAGTAACCAATACCAGATTTATTATAAGCACACAGATCATATACATTTACATAGCTCTGTTAACTCTTCTCTGTTAGTGAAAATATCAAAGCTAAAAAGAAAGTTAACCAATATATATAACCTTGTAAGTGATGGGTATTTAACAGTTAACCCACAGTATAACAGTTAACCCACAGTATATAACCTTGTTAGTGATGGGTATTTAACAGTTAGCCTACAGTATATAACCTTGTTAGTGAAGGGTATTTAACAGTTAACCCACAGTATATATAACCTTGTTAGTGATGGGTATTTAACAGTTAACCCACAGTATATAACCTTGTTAGTGATGGGTATTTAACAGTTAACCCACAGTATATATAACCTTGTTAGTGATGGGTATTTAACAGTTAACCCACAGTATATAACCTTGTTAGTGATGGGTATTTAACAGTTAACCCACAGTATATAACCTAGTTAGTGATGGGTATTTAACAGTTAACCAACAGTATATAACCTTGTTAGTGATGGGTATTTAACAGTTAACCCACAGTATATAACCTTGTTAGTGATGGGTATTTAACAGTTAACCCACAGTATATAACCTTGTTAGTGATGGGTATTTAACAGTTAACCAACAGTATATAACCTTGTTAGTGATGGGTATTTAACAGTTAACCCACAGTATATAACCTTGTTAGTGATGGGTATTTAACAGTTAACCCACAGTATATATAACCTTGTTAGTGATGGGTATTTAACAGTTAACCCACAGTATATATAACCTTGTTAGTGATGGGTATTTAACAGTTAACCCACAGTATATAACCTTGTTAGTGATGGGTATTTAACAGTTAACCCACAGTATATATAACCTTGTTAGTGATGGGTATTTAACAGTTAACCCACAGTATATAACCTTGTTAGTGATGGGTATTTAACAGTTAACCCACAGTATATAACCTTGTTAGTGATGGGTATTTAACAGTTAACCCACAGTATATAACCTTGTTAGTGATGGGTATTTAACAGTTAACCCACAGTATATAACCTTGTTAGTGATGGGTATTTAACAGTTAACCCACAGTATATAACCTTGTTAGTGATGGGTATTTAACAGTTAACCCACAGTATATATAACCTTGTTAGTGATGGGTATTTAACAGTTAACCCACAGTATATAACCTTGTTAGTGATGGGTATTTAACAGTTAACCCACAGTATATAACCTTGTTAGTGATGGGTATTTAACAGTTAACCCACAGTATATATAACCTTGTTAGTGATGGGTATTTAACAGTTAACTCACAGTATATAACCTTGTTAGTGATGGGTATTTAACAGTTAACCTACAGTATATAACCTTGTTAGTGATGGGTATTTAACAGTTAACCCACAGTATATATAACCTTGTTAGTGATGGGTATTTAACAGTTAACCCACACTATATAACCTTGTTAGTGATGGGTATTTAACAGTTAACCCACAGTATATAACCTACCTTGAGTAGTTGTTTGGGTTTTGCATATTGAGATACTCTGTTGGATCAGCCTTCTTAGTCCTCTCCAAACGCAGATTTGGAATATTTCCTGCTTTATCATATGCCTGCAGATGGAGATAATACAGAAACTATGTCAAAAATGTACAACTGATATATACAGAAGTTGTTAGGTGTAACAAATCTAATTATCATAAATAAGGTATTGTAGTTTTTGTGTCCGACGGTATTTTGAGGAGCAGTGTAAATCAGATTTCAGCAGTAATCTTACACTAACATGGGTATTTATGTCTACAGGTATCTAGATAGGTGTGCTTTATACAAAGACAACATGATTTCAGTATGTTTATGGAGTAAAATTAAACTAAAAATTCAGGTAGCTTCATTCATAAATCAAATCTCACTCATCTCAAACCAACAATCAAATCTGATCTACTTACATCTCCCATGACCCTCTGTACATACAATGGCTTGGCCTTCTCACGTGTAAAACCTGTTCCTCTCTCCGACCCAACAGCCAGTCGTGGCAGAACCTCATCTCCCTGTCACAATTGTCACCAAGAATATCAGAGAGTGTACATCAAGATGGAAATGTCCTGATGATAATGTCAGATTCATGGCTAATATTTACTTGGAACAATTTTTGCATTTTTATCTGTAGTATGATGTTATTAATTAACTTAGTCTGCTAATTTGTTCTAATTATATAGATTTCTACATCAGTAACTACACAATCAAAGGTTCCTGATAGTGATGTTATTAATCAGTGATACTTACGTGAGGGTATTCTGATCGTAGATTTCTACATCAGTAACTACACAATCAAAGGTTCCTGATAGTGATTAATCAGTGATACTTACGTGAGGGTATTCTGATCGCAGGAAGTGTGTCTTCATTATGCTGCTCCCTGTAGGACGCACAGTATCCCATCCCTTTAAACACATTTCAAATTATGTAAAAACATTATAGACTTGACTGTAAAATCAAACATATCTTAAATATCACCTGAAGAAGTAAAGAAATTCTTCTCTTCAATTTACTCTTCAAACCTAATCCCATTGTATAAATAAACATACAGGATAGTTTGATAAACCTTTCCATGATAGACATGACATATACTCACAGGATTATCGTTTTGGTGAGAAGAGCCTGGGATGAAGGTAATTGGCTCAACATTGTAAGCATGTGTGAATCCAGACTCTTCCTTTGGACCAGTGGTCTTGGTGGACACATCCACTACAAACACGTAAGTGAATATGAGGCTTAACAAGATTCTAGAATTAATTAACCATTAATCATCAGTACTATGTATGTTTCCAAGATAATGGACTGGCAGTAAACTGTACTACAGGTAGTTATTTCTATAGCTATTGACTAGAGGATGATTTCAACACTTAACAGTAAATAAGCTAACTAAATCTGAGTTGGTTTGTACTGTGTATCTTGATAATGGGTAAAGAAATGGTTACATGATAACAGAGTAGGAAAGACATAGCCCATCCGATATATGTGACATTCAATGTATTGTACCATCAATAATAATTGGGAATGTAATAATAGCTACCCAATCAAAACGACAATGAGAAAGTATTAACACCTGTCAATATAATAAAATCTGTAAAGTTTCACAGAGGAGGGAGGGGGTCTCAGGACAAGTTTGAAATGCTTAAAGAAGGGCTATATATAATAACACTTTCAAAAAAATTTTAAATCAAAACAAAGCTTAAGAAAACATACTTTTATGACAGAATAATAAAGCTAACCGAATTTGATAGAGATTTATTAAAATTCTGGAGTGGAGATCTTCAGATGAGAAAAATTGCTGGAAAAACACAAATGGTAATAACTTTTTCTAAAATCATCACGTCAAAATGCTTTTGAAGAAATCAACTCTATGTCATGGTTATGAAACCTACCAAGGTTAAAAGAGATCAGTTGAATAACGAGAGAGATCTCCAAGCAAATGAAACTTTTCAGCAAATAAACAGACAATATGGCAAACTATTATGACTTGGCAATTTTTTTCAAATGGAGGAATTTTGAAAGGCCAGGAAAAGGGTTTAGGACTTACTTCGGTCAGGCTGGTCACCCACAAACCTTTGTTTGGTTTCTGACAACATGTATTTTGGACCCTGCAAAATAGATCAAAATGTTATGGAATTGAAAATTGGACACAATTGATTAATTCTGGAACAGCCATTGGCCTGATTCTTTTCATTCCAGCAATTTTAGTTGATTTAATTGTGGAAAACCTGTTTATACACATTCTGCACATCATCTATTACATTTACTCTGTTAAAACCTGTTTATACACATACTGCACATCATCTGTTACATTTACTCTGTTAAAACCTGTTTATACACATGCTGGACATCATCTATTACATTTACTCTGTTAAAACCTGTTTATACACATACTGGACATCATCTATTACATTTACTCTGTTAAAACCTGTTTATACTGGACATCATCTATTACATTTACTCTGTTAAAACCTGTTTATACACATACTGCACATCATCTGTTACATTTACTCTGTTAAAACCTGTTTATACACATACTGCACATCATCTGTTACATTTACTCTGTTAAAACCTGTTTATACACATACTGCACATCATCTATTACATTTACTCTGTTAAAACCTGTTTATACACATACTGCACATCATCTATTACATTTACTCTGTTAAAACCTGTTTATACACATACTGCACATCATCTATTACATTTACTCTGTTAAAACCTGTTTATACACATACTGCACATCATCTATTACATTTACTCTGTTAAAACCAGTTTATACTGGACATCATCTATTACATTTACTCTGTTAAAACCTGTTTATACACATACTGCACATCATCTATTACATTTACTCTGTTAAAACCTGTTTATACTGGACATCATCTATTACATTTACTCTGTTAAAACCTGTTTATACACATACTGCACATCATCTATTACATTTACTCTGTTAAAACCTGTTTATACACATACTGCACATCATCTATTACATTTACTCTGTTAAAACCTGTTTATACTGGACATCATCTATTACATTTACTCTGTTAAAACCTGTTTATACACATACTGCACATCATCTATTACATTTACTCTGTTAAAACCTGTTTATACACATACTGCACATCATCTATTACATTTACTCTGTTAAAACCTGTTTATACACATACTGCACATCATCTATTACATTTACTCTGTTAAAACCAGTTTATACTGGACATCATCTATTACATTTACTCTGTTAAAACCTGTTTATACACATACTGCACATCATCTATTACATTTACTCTGTTAAAACCTGTTTATACACATACTGCACATCATCTATTACATTTACTCTGTTAAAACCTGTTTATACTGGACATCATCTATTACATTTACTCTGTTTTATATCACCAGGTATAAAAACACATCCTCGCCCAGGATTTCAGATTCAAATTAACATGAAGATTAACCTACATATCCACAGTTCTCCAGTTCCACAGGGTCTTTAGATCGGAGTTTGTGAAGAAGTGGTACTGACTTGGGCAGGATATTAGTTGGTGCAGTAGCTGCCCTTGTATCTATGAACACCCCATTCACCTGAAAAGGTAAAAACCAAACATTTTATGACAAAACAGGATTAATTAACTGATATCTACATCTTACATTATAGAAGTAGATGTATCTGATATGTACATCTTCAGTTATGGAATTAGATGTGTCTGATATCTACATCTTACATTATAGAAGTAGATGTGTCTGATATCTACATCTTACATTACAGAAGTAGATGTGTCTGATATGAACATCTTAAGTTATAGAAGTAGATGTGTCTGATATCTACATTGCAAGTTATAGTAGGTAGTATATATTTCTGATACTAGCCTCTTTCTCAATAGGTGTTGTGACTGGTTTCTGTCGTACAAAGCCTGATCCAACTTGATGAACATTTGCAGGAAGAGCTTCTTTGCCACTGTTTTCTTTGTATGGTTGAAAATGCAATTCTGTCAGACTGTGGTAATTTCTTGAACAAATATCACTGTCAAACACAAACAAGAATATCACTGTCAAACACAAACGAGAATATCACTGTCAAACACAAACGAGAATATCACTGTCAAACACAAACAAGAATATCACTGTCAAACACAAACAAGAATATCACTGTCAAACACAAACGAGAATATCACTGTCAAACACAAACGAGAATATCACTGTCAAACACAAACAAGAATATCACTGTCAAACACAAACAAGAATATCACTGTCAAACACAAACGAGAATATCACTGTCAAACACAAACGAGAATATCACTGTCAAACACAAACAAGAATATCACTGTCAAACACAAACAAGAATATCACTGTCAAATATAAACAAGAAAGTCACTGTCAAACACAAACAAGAATATCACTGTCAAACACAAACAAGAATATCACTGTCAAACACAAACGAGAATATCACTGTCAAACACAAACAAGAATATCACTGTCAAACACAAACAAGAATATCACTGTCAAATATAAACAAGAAAGTCACTGTCAAATATAAACTTACAAAAAATTGTCATATTCTTGTATGGAGCATAAAATCTTTGAAAATGCTTAAAACAATATCTGTCTAGTGAATATAAATCATATTCTATAACACACATTCAGTCAATTCACCTCATTCAACAGCTTTCTGGGTTGTCAAGAGAACAATTAGCAAATAGCAAACACTGACATGTCAGCTAAAGTTCCACTCTATTCTATTTCTGGAGTGAGTTTCATGTTTACTTTTTTTGAGATATTCAAGTTGAGACCTTTATCGCACAGTTAAATTGTTTCTTTTTTGCTTTCCAAATATTTTTGTTTTAATCATGATCAGTAGTGGGCATTGATTCAAAAGCTGAGATTGGTTATCAATCTCAATAAATCATCAATACATTGTAACATCAATCATGTCATCCAAAATACTGACCAGTTGATGAAGAAAACTTGACTGGATTCTTTGAACTGATGATACAGAATCTATGCTGACTTAGCTATATGATGTCAAAATTATTGTGGCAATGAAAGCTTCATAAAATTTGCTGAAGGCCCACTCTGAGATAAGGTGTAACAATCTTTCACAAACTATTAAAATTTATCAGATGTCTACCTAGCATCCAATTTGAATCTGATCAATTAAAAAATTCATCTATGTTGAGGAAAGCAAATAAAAAGTCAGACCAACAGAGGCACAATTTGATTACTACTGCACTGTTGATTAAGTCCTTCTGTTTTTAACACTAGCCTGATGTTATATAAGAACATTTTCAACAAACCATGATCAGTTAAAAATGTTTCTCTGGTTTCCCTTCAATTTGAATGTTGGCACCTGAATCTGTTGTGACAAATTACATATATCATATAAATACCAACCTAAGCACTGGATTGTCTACGTCGTCTAACTTTTTACTGTAGTAAACTGCAGGTCTGAAGTTAGAGAGGTAACCTGTGCCTGTGTGACGTCCTGGCCGTGGTTTGAAGGCTTCCCAGTATCTACCGTATGATGTGGAATTTGTTGTGTTGTAGAATTTCATCATGTTGATATCAGAGCCATGACTTTCCTTCATGTGCAGAGTGCGGGTACCTGTAGGCAGAGGCCCCATTTTGAAGACTGGCTCGCCTGCTGTATTCCTGATTAAAATCAAATGAATAGGAATCTTAACAACAGTAATAATCCTTGCAGTCAATATATCATCAGCAGTTTTTAATCAGTAGAACATTGGAAAATATGGCATACTAAATAAGAAATGAACATTTTTATGTACATAGTACAATGCTACATATAAAAACAGATGTACATGTGTCCCACTCATAACCAGGGAGCACCAACATGTAAACATGAGTGAAGACCTTTGTCAGCAATAATCAGCATACTAATCATGTAATGTCATATTTACATCAGTTTCTACTCCCCAACCATTTATATGTTACCCCAGTAAATACTAGCCTTATTAAAACTGATTCACTTTAGCTTGACCAATTGAGAGCAAAATTAGCAAGGAAGAGGTTCCACTATGGGATCCTAGTGGAGGCACTGGAATAATAATGACCTCTGTTACATTGGTGTCTGTGTTGGGACTCAAGAATGAAACTAAGAGTTACATTCATATGCATTTCTCCAACTACAGGAAACTTGAGGAGTATGCAATGCCTAAAATAGTCTCAATATACTGTTCGGCTAGAGAGATCTTCTCTTTAACTTGAATTACAATGTTGTAGCTCGACAGGGTTGGGAGAAGGGGGAGGGCATTCATTTTAGTATGTATGACTAGCAAGTTAAGGGTCCTGAGTTTGACTTCTACATTTTGCAGGAAATGCAATGGACTACTGTCTGGATATCATATCAATCTTACAGCCTGGGTGTGTTCTGGTTACAAACAAATTCAAAAATTTAATTTGTATATATAAGTTAAGTTAACATTTCTGGTGACATAATTTAGACAACAGTACATATATATACATGTATACACAAATATATACATTTGAATACAATGTTCATAAATATGTGTTTCCACATCTCATCAATAAATGTTAGTTAGATTATCATAATTGTTATATTGCATTTACGTAAATATTAAAATGTCTGATGGAAGGCAGTTCAGTTCATTTATGTAAATATTACCAGATTCATTTAATGTCAAGTTTGAAAATGATCAGATTATGGCGATGTTAGTCAGTGGACAGGTAGATATTTAACAAATGAGGTGAGGTCAACGAGGGAGGGAAGTACAATCTTGTTCACTCTATGCAAAGAGTGGCTAACAAACAACGGCAACAATACTGGATTGATCGTTATATATTACGGTAAATACTTACACAAATCTTGTCTGTAAACTACAATGCTTACGATGTAAACAAAGCGAGCGAAATCGGGGCACACTGCTATTACTCCATCAAGAGCTTGGTCGTTGTCACAGGCAACATTGAGTCTCTGTGCACACAAAATGATGACATCATGAAAAACGAGTATACAGGGGACATAACTCGAATACTATCTCCGCGGGATATATAAAATTGGTGAAATATTCTCGTTTTAATTGAATAACATTACTCTTATCGTAATATCAGACAAAATAATTTGTTTTCATTTCAATTTATAAGAATATGATGTTACTTCCTAATTCAAAATTGGAATTAAAGCAATTTGGCATAAAATTTATTATGTATGACCTCTTCCAACCAATAGTGACAGCTGACATTCATCACAATAAATATTAATTTGATTACGTTCTCTACAAAATTTACAAAAACGTCTCACAATAGCATGTTATTTTACAATTAATATGTATAGAAGGGTTGTTGGTCATTATTTGACCATTCAGTGATAAACTTATATATTAGATTATTTTAATGATTTTTCTCTACTTCTATTTCATTTATCCACAAATCTAGATTATATCTGGGTCCGTGATTTGTCTATTTATTAACAGAAAATATTTTAAAGTCACCTGCATACAGTATATCATTAAAGACATCATGTTTTAGAAAATATTCGAATGAAATTAGGGGAGGGGCCATACTTAACAAACTAAATCACTTGCTATGATGCACGTGCATGTACATGGTTGATCACGTTCTTTGTTGAACACATTTTAATCCTATCCGTTTGAAAGCCCACCATACCGGCTCAAAAATTATATGACATATCTTTATTTTGTTTTTGTTTTTTTTTGTTTTTGTTTTCTTGTTTTTGTACAAAGTCTTTCCGTTTATTCAGTTAGCATAGATTGCATGGCTGATGTTTTTTGTTTTCTTTGAAATATGATGTAGTTGAAGCCAAATGTCATCCCTGAATCTATCACATCCAAAACGCCATTCCGTTCAAATATTGATTTCACATACAAAAAAAGGAAACTATTACATAAGGGATTTTATATCAGTTTGTTGTCTCTTAACCAGTCGAAAAAAAGTCTATTTTTGATGTGTGCACATCATGGGAAGCTCACACACGACAGTCTGTGCAGTAGATGTAAGAGTTGTCTACCGTATTATTTTGAATAAGATATTACCTCCCAAATCAATGATCTCGTTTTGAAATGATTTAGTATAATGTGTAAACTTTATATAACAAGTAAGAAGAGGCCTAAGAGCCTTACGATCACCTTACTTATAATGTTGTTGTTCTTCTTTTTACATGTCATATAATAATTTAACTATATTGTACACATGATGTAACTGTGCATAACAGTAACTTCCATCTCATTCTAAGACTTGTTACTATGTTTGAATCAAAATAAATTACCCTGAAAAATGCAATTTTCCTATATCAATTATTCCATCCATGAATAGAATTAAACAGATTCTACTATATCTGGATATTGAGAAGATCTTTGAAATTTGAGTAAATTTGACCCCTTTTTTAGCCACGCCCACCAGCCCTTGGGGTCACAGCCAGGGTCAGTCTGTGATATCATCAAATTATCATCCTATTTTAACAATTCTAAACAAGTTTGAAATATTTCCAATAGAAAAGCACCTTAAGACCTTTCTCTCCATGAAGAGTATTTGATTCTAACATACTTCTGATTGTAGAAATAAATCTTGAAATTTTAATAATTTTATGCTTTTTGGTCCCACCCCTTTGGCCCGTGAGGATGGGGACCATATTATTTACAACTTTGGTTCACCTTTGGCAATTAAAGGTTTTTGCGAAATTTCACTGTAATCGGTTTATGAGTTTTCCGTAAGAAGACTGCAAATACATGACCTGCTTCATGATTAATAAGTCTGACCGTCAACATAAGTAGCCGTCTGTGTTCGGGAGGTCGCTTTTAGGTAGAAGTACAAAACGATAAACAAATTGTAGACAATGGGGTTAGTGCTCGGTAGACCTTACACACATCGTTGATTTTATACAGAAATTGATTTCAAGCTTGAATGGAAAATTCTAAATATACAAGAGTTCGTAAGGGTCATCATCACACACATGGATATTCGAAAAAGAAAAGGAAAAAACGGAAAAAATATAAATATGCTTTTTAGCAAAACTGACGTCTACTCCATCCCAGGTACTTATCTGCAAAATATCAGGACCACAAGTCTTCTAAAACCTGAGATGACTCTTAAAAGTTCTAACACGCTTTACCCCTGTGACATTGAAAAATGATCAAGGTCATTTATAGCGGGGAAACACACCACTCAAAGGTACCCTTTAGGCTAAATATCACTGCTCTGGGTCTTCTGGTAGTTGAGAATATATTTGGCGCCTTTGACCTTGGAAAAGGTCAATATGATTTATACGAGAGACTGGTTTAGTACTCTTTCCTAAGTGTTCTACCCATCAATTAAGATTCCGGTTTCTAGAACTGGAGAAATTTTTAAAACAAAATTGACCCCTTTTGTTGAAAATCGGTCAAGGTAATTCATATGATGAGGATATACTGTACGCTAACTTAACAAAGGTACCTCCAGGCCAAAGATCAGTCCCTAGTTTATAGATGAAGATAAAAACTGACGAACGGACGGACGGATCGGATGAACATTTGATATTGCTAAGAATTTAGAAAAAAAATATAGTTGCCTTGAGAACTGTAGGAATTTAGATGTGTCCAAGCAAGATAGGAGTCAAAAAACAGTTAAGATGATGTCGACTCAAACACTATGCTGGATTTAACAGCATCGTACAGCTGTTTCGTCCTTCTAGGCCTCGTCAATGATGCTAAGGGCCTAAATGCTTAAGCCTACTCGAGGCGACCAAGGAAATTCCAAAGTGATCAAAATAAAAGTCAAAATCTGGAAGAGATGGTGCACTAGTCCTATATTAAATAAATTTTATTATTTTCATATATCAGCTAATTTTAGAACAGCGTCAAGTACATGTGTATATTCTGGGCCTGTCGCCATTTGAGTCAACAGAGAAGTTGCATATCAGAATATTTTTGACGTTCGTGCAGAGTTACCTCCCCGCACGGAGCTTTCCTACTTGATTTTATTTTTATGTAAGCATGGCGGGTATTACGCGCACCTCACGGAAAGAAATTGCTTACAGGGGAACTGTGGTGAGTTCTTATGCGTAAGTAATAGTTCTTTTTGTATTATATTAATATTATTTAATTGATGAAATGGTGCTTGAGCTGTAGTTTTTAGAGATCGCGTAGTATCGTTGTAGAATTTTATGGAAGCGCACTGCAACCGGTGCAAGGGAAATTTTAACCCATTTAAACATGCCAAGAGAATCATTTAGCAAAAGTAATTTTAAATGTTAATTATTAACAGGGATAATATCAATTTTATTTTTATTTATTTATATATATTTGTTTATTTTTTATTTATCGAAAAACACATGAGGAATAAATAGATTCATATATACTATCAGTCTATAACTCCCACCGTCACACACTTACAGAGTATAGTCATGCATCATTTTCACCACTAAACACACAGCATTTTGAGTTGCACACTATATCTTAACTATCATAGACACTATGTAACACAATCACTCTAAACATATATTTATAACTTGCAGCCATACTAGCACTCCAGCATTGTTACATATACAAACAACATCAGCATCTGACATCAACGTCATCATATACAATCATCATCCTCGTCACACATTAGCATCATCACATACCATCAGCATCATTATGGTCACCTATCAACATTAGCATCATCACACTTCAGCAGCATTACACATCCGCATTATCACATACCAAATCAGCATCGTCACACCTCAACATCATCATATATACCAACATCAGCAGCATCACACAGCAGCATCACACATCCTCATTATCAGCTTCTTCACACACTTTAACTTCCATGCATAAGGATGCTGCAGATTCTTAGACACAGTCAACATCATTATCTTCATCATCAAGCACACATAGACATGCTAATTTCAGTAATTTCTCCATAAACTAGTATGGACTCATAATAAGTGAGCAACTGACAGCTGTCACTATATCACTATAAGATAAATGTTCCTAGATATAATGAAATAGACAAATAAAAAACAAAACATGTGATGATTTTTTTTTATAATTCTTTAAACAGCAGACAACTATTAGCTGTTAATAATAAATGTAAATCAATATCAGAAATACTGTCAGTTCTTACCATTGCTTGTGAAGTGATTGATTCTAAGGTGACCGATAAGGCCCATGGGCCTCTTGTTTCTAATCTTAAATTAATTTTTCAATGTATTTTTATGCACAATATGCGTACCTCAAGTGATTTTGCTTATTATTTTAGATTTATGATCTTTACATTTATTTACTTCTTTTTTTTGTTTGATATTTATGTATTTTATACATCCGTCAAATGACAGGACATATTATGGTATTCTCGTCTTCCATCCGTCCATCTTCCGTCCGTATGTCCCTCTGTTCGTAAACATTTCAATGTCCCAGCGATTTTGGAATTTATTAAGCCTTAACAGATTTCTTTTAACTTTCATTGCAAGCTTAAGTACAATCAAAGCTAGATTGAGTTTGATTTCCATGATTTTTGATCCACAACTTTTAGAGTTACGGCCCATTAATGTCTGTAACCTTTTCAATGTCGGTGCAATAACTTTGCAAAGTATTACGCAATTACCATTGAAACAAATGCAATATATTATATACAGCATAAATAGTGTAGGTGATAGTCAGACAAAATCACAGGCGTATTTCGTGACCTGAAACAGGCTCTTGTTTTTTTTTTTTTTTTTCGTGTGACAAATTAAAATGATTGTTCAATATATGAATATTGTCAGCATTCCATTATACCTTCATAGATCCCTATTAGGATAAACTGACGGGACAGAGCTTGTTTGTTACACTATCAGAATAATGTAAATCACTCATACTGGTGGAGGAATTACAGTGATTCTAGCATTAAGTTGTATGGTTGCCAATTTATTTGCAGATAA